GGCTCTCTGCCAATGCCTGTTGCAGTTGCACATGCTCTGACCCAGGCTGACAACGCTTATGTTTACCAACTGGCTGGGGCTCAAGAGCCACATACCCAGCACCCATTCTCCTTCCCATCCAGTGCCTCTTCCAACTGCTATTGAAGACTGAACACAGAGCAGAAAGTGTCTACGTAATGCCTGCTACAGCACTTGTGCTCAGTTCTCTTCTCTCTAGCGCTGAGGCCCTCTGCTCTACATTGACCACAGTGAAAGCTGTTGTATTGTGGCTCAGTCTCCAAATATCCTCTCTTCCATGTGCAAACGGTTAAATTTTAATATATAATACAGTCTCCAGTTCAAAGTAATTAGCTAATATTATTAAGCCAGTGATTTTTTTCCAAAAAAGTTTTCATTTGTTGTTAAATTTATTTAGTGGCTTAGTTATTTTTCCTGTTGAGATGATATATGTATTTGTTCTTCTGAGGATAATTTATAAAAATGCATCTTGTTAACAATATACACAAACAATGTGTACCTACAACAGTGTGCTCTCACCCAGTCTTTCAGTCTAGCTCACCTTAGTCCCCACCCCCCACCAGGAAGAGGCAGGAGCCACCCAGTTTAGTACATGATGGACGACTCTTGGTTGAGGTCATTTTCTAAATCTGAAATACAGTTCAGAATTCTGCCACTAGGTGATGCTAAAGAAATACAAGACAAGGTCCATCTTTTCAAAGAAAGGGAAAGTCCTCTTGTTAGTCTTTAAAGTGCTACATAGTCCTGTACTTTGTTTCAGCTACACCAGACTAACACAGCTACATTTCTATCTCTTTTACAGAGCGCTAATATTTAGGGATAGGAGGGGGCCACTCCAGGAAAACTGAAATTTTTTTTGTAGAATTTCTTCTCTTCCTAATTATTTGCCATAAAAAAAAAATGTTAAGACTTTCAATTATTCAAACACAATATCACTAAGCCAATGGAATTTTACCTAAGAAAGGACATCAGGCTGAAATATTAGGTCAACTAAAGAAAAATGATGCATAATAATATCTATACTATTAGAAAAGGAGAAGTGTCTGTCACAGAGAACATTTAAGAATACACTGGAAGACTTGAGAAGTCTGGGTCTGGGGTGGGCCCTTCAGTGGCCTCCTGGATAAGGTGTCAGCCTCCTGGGGTTGTGGGTTTGAGTCCTGCCCCAGAAGCAGCTGGGAGCTTCCCCAGGGCTAGAACTAGCACCAGCTGAGGGTAGGAAGGTGGGTTACCAGCTTCCCCAGGGCTGGAGCCAGTAGGGGTAAGCAGGTGGCTCTGGAGCCACTTGCTTTAGCTGCAGGAAGTGGAGCAGCAACAGGCCTGGGTAGGGGACAGGCTGCAGTGGGAGCCACCTCAGCTCCAGTGCCTGTAGAGCATCCTTGCTTTCAGCATCTCACTTGTGGCCCATGGGCCCAAGTGTAGAATGGAGGCTACACCTTGCCAGGAGCAGAACAGGTCAGGACAGGCTGGCCAGGATCCAGCCTGCTGGCACCTGGGTGACAGACTCCCACAGCACTCTCCAGTGGGTGTGAGTGCACAGCGGGAGGGGGGGGCGGAGCAGCAGGGACACAGGCAAGATAGCAGTCAGGTCTGCTTTTGCCCCCCACAATAGGCCAACCTGAGTATAGGTCTACCATCACATTGGAACAGGTAATGTTAGTAATTAATAATTTCTGCTTTCCTGTTCTACAGGCAAAACTTCAAAAATAAAATGGGCAAATTGTATATTCATGAGATTTAACTAGCCAAATCTAGCAGGGTAGTAAAATATATTTAAATCAATGGAGTATCATCATCATCATCAATGAATTTTGCCTGATGAGTTTTCCATTAAGACTTTCTGAAGCGGTTAGCATTTCAAGGATGGAAGTTTAACATACAGGGGGAAAAAGAATGAAAGAGGGACATCTTGTGTGATCAAACAAGAATAGAAGAATTGGTGTTTAATTCTTATTTGATCTAGAAAAATAAACCACAGGAGGCAAGTTATTTTGGAGGTATTATGGAATATTTTATTTTGCAATAAAATGTCACAATCTCTCTCATGTACATACGAAAAATCCATTCAATTATGCTTAGTATAAGGAACAACAACTCACTTTTCAGAAGCAAGATGGATCCATTTTGCCAATGTATAATGTTTTAGCAAAAAATTAGTCATCTATATGTATTTTAGAATGCCTCTGAGTTTGTCGGTCTGCGAGTTTGTTTGTCCGAGAACTCCTAAATGGTAAGACTACCAAATTTGTTAGGCAGCTTCCTCTGGTCCTAACTTAAACTAAGGTCAGGGATAAACTGTGCCAGGAAAACTGAAGTGCCAAGAATAGAATTGTTTTCCATAACATGGAAATGGAGGGTGCTGATCAGTGGAGAACTACACTGCAGAACAATCATTGGGGGCAGTGAGTGCAGAGGGCAGATATACTGCAGAGTGACCACTGGAAGCAGTCACACCAGCAGGAGAGCATCCAGCTGTGGATGGGGTTTCCCACACTGCCAGCCACCAGACTGGATAAATCGACCCCCGTACCAAAACAGTGGGGGGCACTCTGCCCACCAGCCCTACTGCCACACACCCTGGACGACCCTCAGGCTGGGCAGCACAGCTCAGCCTTCACCCAGGAGACATCCTCCCACCCAGAGACCTGGGACAGACATGGTGGCCCACCTTCCCCCCAAAAGACTCCTCTGTCCCAAGGAGATGACAAGGCTGAAAATCATGGCCTGGCCCTGGACCAGCTGCAAGTTGGTGAAGGGAGGGGGGGGCACAGCTGGCCCCTGGAGGTCCATCCCCCTGACAAGCTGCAGAGCAGGGGGAGAAGAGGAAAGCACCTGAAGGCCAGGCTGGGCTCCTGGAACCCATCTCCCTACCCCAGGTGAGCTGCAGGCCACCGCCAGCACCACTGTCACCACCACAAGTGGTCCCCAGTAAGCTCCCCCGCCTCCCATCTCTGAGCCCTGCACCTCCCACCCTGTGCCCTACCATTAAATAAAGCATATACATTCTCTTTTTTAGAATTCTTTTAATACACACATACTACAGTTAAGGACCCAAGCAATGCCAGAGACATATGCAAGTTTTCTACAATTTCCCCCCCCAAATGATGCAGTTAGAGTCTGTACATTAAGATGGTCAACAATTTCCACAACCCACAAGAGCTGAACTAAACAGAGCATCTAGATAAAGTTATAAAGTTTATATATGTATAAACTTTCATCTTCCTCAACTTAAATGCATGTTAACTTCATAACTGTTACTCCTAGGAAGAGATCTGATCTTCAAATTTAACCCACACGCAACCCACAAATAACAAACACAAATAGGGTGGTAATGAAGAAAATGAGAGGGTATATAATTTATTTGAATCTTGTCAATGTTTATTATACCTGCCCTAAAGCTCCCCTGCCAGTTTTGACAGATTAACATTTTCCCTTTCAGAGTTCACCCTTCCATTGATGTGTGAACCCAAAAGGGAAATGGAGAAAAGAAAATGAAAAGTATTGTCAAATGTAAAGCTAAGAAAAAAAATACTCTTTCAGGCACTAAGTGTAACATTACAAAGCAGACAATCTTGTTTCTTTTCACCATAGCAATGAAAGTTACTCTGCCACACTTACTCCAATATAAACACAAGCAGTTACATGGAAATTACTTTTTGACCACACACACACACACACACACAAACAAACACAAACACATACACCCCCCCCAGGGGAAAACAGTAGCCCATTCAGTAACTAGCCCAGAATACTAATGGTAAGAAAGAAAAAAAGTTCAAAGCTAAAAGCCTAACTATTTGATACATGTTTTATACGCACAATAATACATTATTTTCCACTTACCAGTGTGAGTTCTTTTGTGTGCCTGCAAAGATTTTTCTCGTGGAAACACTCTGTTGCAGATATTACAACGGATTCGGCTGGATGAATGCTCTCCCTCACTTATTAGATCTCGTACTGTGTCTGCTCTTGGTCGGCCACGTCTAATACCATCCTATTAATAAGAATAATAAAAAAGCCACCCTATGAAGAAACTGCAATTTGTTTAAAAAAAAAATCAATATAGTACTTGCAGACAAATGATTCAGTCCACAGAAAACTTTTGAAATCAGGAGCAACTTTCTCAAAAGAAAATATGTGTACCAACACATCAAGGAAATACAGTTGTTTTAATAGCTTTTATTTTTCTCCATAATTATTCACGGAGCATTAAAAGAATCACATCAAAGGATTATTTAAATCCAGAGCAATTATTCTTCCCTTCAAATAAGTTAACTGAACTCCAGTTTCAAGGTCATTTAAAAAAAAACAAAAAAACACAAGTAATCAAACACTTTTTATAACTGAAAAACACAACTGAATGCTATTTATATACACACACGTGTGTAATGGAGAGAGTTGGACCCAGGATTACATCATTATTTCTTGAACCAGTGTGCCTGAGCAGCTGTGATGAATGATTGTTTAAAAAGAGTAAGTTTAAAGTTTAAAATGTAGATAATGAAAACACAGCAAATAAGAAGTCTGAGTATCTCGGTCATCCTTAATTATGTTATGGGATGAGTCACCAAATGGCCCTTGTCATCCTTAATTATGTTGTTATGGGATGAGTCACCAAATGGCCCTATTATATACTTTTAAAATGTTTTTCTTAGAAGGTTGAACAAGCTTATATGTTACAGTGTTCGTAATTTTGTGATGTAGTTTATTTCTTGGGTAGCTTCCACAAGTAGCAGAATTTCTCTCTGCCTTAATCTCTTTAAGGAAAGTAAATTCTTGAGGCAGAGTTGCTCCCTAGAAACCAAACATTGGTGTTGGGCCTTTGACTCCTGAAAAAGAGGGTTGCCTGTATGATGATTGAGTACTCCTGGCTCAATGATTGATGAATATAGTGTAAATAAAACCATCACTGATTTCACCTTTCATGATGAAACCTACTTATATACCACTATTATATAGGATCTAGACGTTGGGGAAAAATGTTGCTTTTAAAACGTATCAAACTAATTCACCTAGCTGCTATCTTAGAGAGTGTCAGGGTTGAGAGTCCCCTCCTGCTAAACTTCTCCCTCCCCTTACTACTGACATCATGAAATTATTGTTCCAACAGGGTGCATCATTTTAGATCAGACAGCACATCAATTTTAGATCAGACAGCACATCATAGAGCAAGACACAAGGCCAGTCCAATTTTAGATCAGACAGACAGCACATCATAGAGCAAGACACAACAAGTTAGGACTGAACAGTTCTCTTTTCCATTATGCACAGTCCTCTAAGTCCCCAGGACCAAATCCTGAGGTCCATACATGGGGCTGGATCACCCTTGATCTATGCACAGAAAGCCACAGAAAAATGGGGTTCTTGCCTCTTGCCACAGACAGCACTTTCAGATGGCATCGATTTGAGCACATTTTTAAACTTCAGATCCAGAAAAGAGAAGGAATTTGTATGAAATACAAGAATGAGAAATACACAGGAAGCCTTGGAACGCACCGTTGTGAGACATATATTTACATATTTATCACTAATACAGGGTTTCTCAAAATTCCTTGCATCATGATCCCCCTTCTGCAGGCAAAAATTCATGACCCAGGGAAGGGGAACCAAAGCGTGAACCTCACAGATGGAGAGTTGCAAAGCTAAAGCTTAAGCCCTGCCACCCAGGAGGTCTCAAATGCTTGACTGAGTACTCTTGGTTCAGAGATTGATGGATATAGTGTAAATAAAACCACCACTGGTTTCACCTCCCATGGTGAAACCTACTTGCACACCACTATTATTATATGATCTAGACTTTGGCTTCAGGGCTGAACAGTGAGGCTCGGACTTTGGCTTCAGCTCCGATCCCTAGCAAGTCTAACACAGCAACCCCATTAAAATGGGAGTAGCAACCAATTAGAAATGTTAGATGTTGTTTAATTTAATAATCATGTAACCGCACCAAATCTTATCAGTTACACCAGAGGTCTGCAACCTTTCAGAAGTGGCGTGCCAAGATTTAACTTATTCACTTCTATTTACAAAACTGTGTGCCAAGGAGAAGGGGGCATGGGCAGGCTGGGTCTGGTGACCATATTTTCTGAACCAGCTGCAGCTAGGGAGAATGGTTTAATTTAAATTATTAAACAGATTAAGCGTTTTAACTTTTTCATGTTAGTTTATCAAACTTCATTTATTTATAACAGGGGTAGAGAACCTTTTTTGGGTGAGGGGCCACCGACCCACAGAAAAAAAATCAGTTGGGGACCACACAAGTGAGAAGCAAAACAACAACCTTCACTGATGTGGGCCCCAACTGAGACACCTCACTTTTCTGGCACTCCAGCCTCAGCGGGGTGAGTGAAAGGGACAGGAAGGACTGAGGTTCAGGGCTTCCCCCTTAGGCTCCAGGGTAGGGACAAAAATGAGGGGTTCAGTGTGTAAGACAGGGCTGCCAGCAAGTGGGAGAGGGATGGGGTACAGTATCTGGGAGGAAGGTGGGGTGCAGAAGGGGGAGAGGTTGCGAGGTATGGGAGGCAGGGAGGGTGAAGAAGCAGGCTGGGAGTAGGGTGTCTGGCCAGGGGCTGCAGAAGCAAGGGAGGGTACAGGTCTTGATGGGGGGATGGGAGTGAGGGGAATTGGGTGTGGGGGTCTTGGCATGAGGGGGGGACACTTACCTGGCTTTGTGCCCCCTTGCAGCAACTCCCACTGGCATCGAGGCCGGAGGGGCCACTGCCATGCATCCCAGGCTGGCCTCGGAGGCACCGCTGTGGAGCCTCCTCCCACCGCAGCCTAACCTGTTGCCAGGGAAGATGGAGGGCTCCAGTGGCTGCGCACGGGGGAGAAGGGAGGTGGCGTGTGGGACTGAGCTCCTGCTGCATGTGCCACTGAAAAAAAAATCAGCTTACATGCTACACGTGCTGTAGGTTGCTGATCCCTGGGTTACACAACTATTCGATGATCCTTGAGGGCAGAGTTGGCAGTGCCATTCCCAGGGAGCTGCCTGCCATCCCAAGGTGCTGTCTCTGACAGAGACAGCAGCAAGGGGTTGCAGAGGACTCTAGCTGTAGGGGGCCCGAACTCACTAGCATTCCATGAAGCAATCTCTGTCCACAGCAAGCCCAGGCCTACCGCGGATGAAGGTTGCTCTGCAGCAGCAGCCCCTGTTCATGGGGGAGCCCCAAGCTCCCTGTGGACAGAGGCTGCTCTGGCATCCCGCCTGCCCTCCCCCACCTCCATGTAGCTGCCTCTGATAGAGAGGCAGCAACTTAGATGGTGAGGGGGACAGGTGGGAGCCTAAACATGCGGGAAGCCAATTTTGAAGCTGGCTCCTTGTGTGCATCAGCTCTCATAGAGCCCCCCGCTTGACCCCCCCACACACTGCTGCCTTTGATACAACTGAGGGGGGGAGGGATAGGAGGGAGGCAGCTCTGTAGTATCCGGTGCTCATGGGCTCCCAGCTGTTAAGCTGGCTTCCCACATTCCTACTTCCAGAGCCACCTGCCCTCCCTGCTGCCATCCCACAGAGGCAGTAGTGCAGGGGAAGAGGGGGGCAAATGGTAGTCAACATATGTGGTGAGCTGGCTTTCTGCACATGCCAGCTTCTGCAAAGCCACCTGCCCTCCCTCTGCCTCCCACAAAGAGCTAGCTCACAAGAGGGTCAGTGGGGTTGCATATAGCTGATATCAGGCCTGTACGCAGCAGGGGTGCGAAGGGTGCAAACGCACCCTCTCATCAGTCCCCCAAGTAAACGTGAGGGGGCTTCACGGCTTGAGCTTAGCCTCCCTCCTCCCCCCTGCAGCAGGGAGCCCGCTCTGGCACTCCAATCTCCTGCGCTTCTCACTTGTGGTCCCCAACTGATTTGTCTGTGGGTCAGCGGCCCCAGACCCAACAAAGAAAACATGGGAATCTTTTGTGTTGGGCATAAGTTAATATTTTACCTTAAACCAGTCTCCCCAGCTGCAGCACTAGCAAAATGTTGTGGGTGTAATTATGTAATTAACAGCGAGTTTCCATGAGCAACTGATTGTCCATGGAAAAGTTTGCATTGAGCCAGGTGGGCCACCAGCCAAAAGTTTGAGAACCATTGTATTGGGGGACAGGAGAGCATTGTGTTGCGGAGGGATGGGCAGGCAGGGCTGGTGGCAGCGCAGCAGCAAACAGCGCCCTCTACTGGCTGGCCAGAAGCTCCAGTCACACACAACTGGCACTGGCCTCAGCCTCCCAGAGCAGGTAGAGCAGCAGTAGGCAGAAGCAATCAAGGGAGCCAGGGGACCATGGCGGCTGCATTTCCTACCATGATCCCAGAAGGTAATTTCTAGAAAATCTTGATTACTGTATACATTTTTACCAATTGCTGTTTCCACTCAAATTTTTCATTAACCTCTTTTAGGCGCACTCATTGCTTGACTATTTTGAACTCCTTTATATTTAAAAAAAATTGCAGTGCACATTTACAAAAAAAGCATCCCTCCCCCCGCAGAAATTCCTGCTAGAGGCCTGGATATGATTAACCAGTAAGTCCAAGCTTATTGGTTATGTAATCAACTACATGCTAATATCCCTACTGCCTGCAGTGGGTCCCCCCGCCCAGGCCTGGAGCAGTCTCCTGCCCAGAGTGGGCAGGGAGGTGCTTCAGCCCCTAATAATGGTTATTCAGAACAGGTAAGCTTTATGCCAATAAGCCTCACCCTTAAGATTAGCCATTTGCATGCCTAGTCCAGACTCTCGTTTTGAGAGCTGCAACTGTACTAGTTTTAGCAATGCTCATTTTGGAGGATTCCTATTTTAACACTATGATATAAAAGAGGATTGTTTTAGAGAGGCCTGAACCCTGAATGAACTCAGCCAGCCACCTGATTTGTAGAAGAATCAGTATTTAAATATCTACCTTCCGTCAGTTGCAACCAGTAGCTTGGAGGAAGTTTAAGTGTAACCAAATGACCTCCCTACCCACACTCTGTATCACAATCCAAACCAAGTTGCCAGAGATAATCCAGATCATTAGCTGGTCTACGGAGTCAGTGGTTACCCAGACTGAGACTGGGAAGTAAGGCGCACAGCTGGACTCTTAGGCTACGTCTACACTGGCATGATTTTGCACAAGAACGCTTTTGCGGAAGAGTTCTTGCGCAAAAACTCTTCCAGAAGAGAGCATCTACATTAGCATGTGCCTTTGCGCAAGAGATGTGCTTTTGCACAAGAGCATCTATGCCAGTGCAGATGCTCTCTTGCGTAAGAAAGCTCTGATGGCCATTTTAACCATAGGGCTTTCTTGCCCAAAAAATTCACATTGCCTGTCTACATTGACCTCTTGCGCAAGAACAGTTGTGCAAGAGGGCTTATCCCTGAGCAGGAGCGTCATAGTTCTTGCGCAAGAAGCACTGATTTCTTACATTAGAACGTCAGTATTCTTGCACAAGAACTCACGGCCAGTGTAGACAGGCAGCAAGTATTGGCACAAAAGCAAGCGCTTTTGCGCAAGATTGCACCAATGTAGCCACAGCCTCAATGGTCAAGCCAGTGGGATTTGGGGAAACAGTCTCACTTGTGAAAAGTGGTCTGGAGTCAGACAGACACAGTGACAAGCTAACGGAGCATTCGGACAGGGGAGATTGCACCAGATCAAGGCCTGGGACGACCCCCACGCCCCACAGATTGCTGAGGGAGGAGGTGTCTGAGCTACCCACCGCCCCACGCGCCTCTGCTCTGCGTCCCGG